ATATACCCCCAAAAAGTATTGGTTAACTAACACTGCTACTCACAGAGACACTGTCCCGTCCCGCGGGACAGTCAACCTAGGACCTGGAGGAGGGGGTGGAAATGGAGGGGACAAGAGACGCGAAGAATGAAGACAAGTCGAAAGCCCGATCAAGTCTCGTTTATTGAATTTCAAACAAATACTTATATATGGTAAAGGAAAGGGGCAGATCAAGGAATGGGGTAATGTGACATTGCTGCTGACGGTAAAATAGGGAAACCTATAAAAAATAGATACATGGCAAGAGGCGGGTAAGTTTAAAAGTGCTGAATCACTTATATACAGAAATGAAGGCTCAAGACAGGTCTCGAAACTCAAACTTAGGTCTGAAGATGTCCAACAGGCCCAAAACAAAGAAGGGAAGTATTGTGACCTTGTTAAGATGAATAGAATGCCGTGGTGCGGCTCTCCACAAGACACTTGTGGGTGCCAAGAACTATGAAAAGATAATAAATATTACTAGAAAGGAGTCTCTGTGGGGCACAAATGGTTAAATGCATACCTACTAATGGAAACATCCCAATCCACCCAGAGGTGGTCTACATCTGAAAGATCACAGCCTTTGACAACTCTGTAAAGCACAGTTCTACTCTGAAACACCATGAGTCAGAATCAACTCCTTAGCAATTGGTTTTAGTTTTGTGTGTGTGTGGATTTTTTTTTAATTGTAAAACAAACACAAACTAGCTAGAGAAAAGTTGTTCTCCATTTAGAAATTAAAATATTTGGAAGATTATCTGTGAACAGATACAAACTGAATAAACTCAAACAAACCCAACATGTTGCCATTCCATTCTCTGCAGAAACAGACTACTACCTCTTTCTCCCAAGGAGTAGGTCGTAGGCTCGAACCTTTTGGTTTGCAGCCAAGTGCTTGAACCACAACACCACCAGGGCTCCTTCCTGCTACTACATGGGGTGGGAATTTGAGCCATTTTATGTGGATATTATCCAAGAAGGTGACCCCAGAAAAGTAGGAGCTGGCAAGTGGCCACACCCAATCCAGAGCACAGGGAATGTAGACAAGAGGAGACCTAAACATAAAAGGGAAACGGCACCCAGGAAGGTCAGACACCTCTGTGGTGCTTAGACGCTAGAAGGCAGGCCTCGAACCCCTCTCATGTTCCCGACCAATCCAGTGCCCCAAGTCTTTTTGAGGGTCTGAGATTTTTAAGAAGCTCTGGTGGCACAGTGGTGAAGCACTCAGCTGCTAACGGAAAGGTCGGCAGTTTGAATCCTATAGCCGTTCCATGGGAGAAAGACATGGCAGTCTGCTTCTGTAAGGACTGCAACACTGGATACCCTATGGGGCAGTTCTACTCTGTCGTATAGGGTCGCTATTAGTCAGAATCAACTCTATGGCAATGGGTATGGGGCCTCACCCAGGCCACGAGACACATTGTCTCTGAGCCAAATGCTTACAGTGTCTTGGACCAAGAAGACCTAGATAGGGACTGTGCAGAAGGCTTCCTCTGATGCCTGCCTGCATGGGGGATAAAGCCTGACCCTGAATCTACTGTTTAATCTTTATAACATCCCTAACCAGCATCTGTCCCACTGCTGCTCCCTGGTTTCCTGCCCTGACATTCATGGGGGACCAGAAAATAGCTTGAGTGGGGTGAGGCAAGAGTAGGAAAAGGACATAATGGAAGATGAAAAAAGTAGAGCCTCATGCCCAGTAAAACTATTTACAATAGTTTTGGGTTTGTTTGTTTGGTTGGTTGGTTTGGTTTTTAGGAGAAAATGAAATTCTGGCAGGGAAAAAACACCAGGGTTAACTAGCTGAGGCCAGAATAAAAATAAACCTGGAACACACTGAATGGCTGCATCCACCAGGAAATGACAGAGTGCATGGTCACAGTATTTTGGGTCCCTAAGTGACCATACAGCACCCTAACACTGGCACTGGTCTCTGTCCTTTCCTGCACTCACTATGAAGGCTGGAGAAAATTAGGCTTTCACTGCCTGACTCAGTTAGGCCTCTCAGGATGTCTGGTCCATGGCGTTTTGGTCTATCTGGCGTCCTGAAAACCAATTGCCAATCAAGTCCAGTCAACTCTGATTCATGATGACCCCATGTGTGTCAGGGTAAAACTGTGCTCCACAGGGTTTGCAATGGCTAATTTTGGGGAAGGAGATAGCAAGGCTTTCTTCTGAGGTGCCTCTGGGTGGATTCTAACCATCAACCTTCTGCTTAACCATTTGTGCTCTCCAGAGACTCTGCCTGGGGTCCTAACGCCAGATGTTTGAAACAGGGTCAGAAGTGGGGGAGAGGAGTTAAGTCTTTGAGCTGTTACTTTAACAGGTTTTAGGCAGCCTGAAAGCAGCTCTGGCAGCATAAGGCCTAAGGCATTTGACTGCTAACCAGGTTAGCGGTTCAAGCCCACCAACTCCATGGAAGGAAGATGTCTTCTACTTCTGTAAAGATTTACCACCTCAGAAACCCAGTGGGGGTTGCTATGAGTCAGAATCGACTCCATGACAGTGAGTTAATGAGTGAGGCAGCCTGAAAAGGAGCCCTGGTGGTTAGGCGCAGGACTGCTAACCCAAAGGTGGAACCCATCAGCAGCTTCTAGGGAGAAAGATGTGGCAGTCTGCTTCTGTAAGTATTACAGCCTTGGAAACTCTACGGGCAGCTCTACCCTGTCCTATAGAGTCACTGAGTCAGGATGGGCTGACAGCAGCGGGGAGTGTGTTTGCTTCTTTGTGCAGCCTGGTCATTTATTGAGGGACTGTGCTCAAAGGACCGGGTCCCAGTCTAGCAACAGAACACATTCAGGACCCACTGCCCTCCCCAGGTCTCAGCCCAGAAAAGTTCAGATGTTCACCTTTTAAGCTAAGACTCACTCTCCTTGCCTTTTCCTCTTAGTTCCTTAAAAGGTCTGGAAACCTCTGGAGCTGCCTTTGTAGAAGGCTGTAATGGAAGGCTAAAGAAGTCCCTCACAGAAAACTGGAAAACTCTGACAAGCTAGCAGGCTCGACTAAAGTGGATTTTAACCATAGTGACTAACTCTCTGCTTTTCCCTCCCTTATCATTTTCTTTGAAGTGAATAGAAGAGCCAAACCCTTTTTATGGACACTGAGTTTTTTAGATTATCACTTTTTTTATTGTGATTTGGGTGAAAGTTTACAGAACAAATTCACTTTCCATAGAGCAGTTCACATACACGTTGTCTCATGACACTGACTACAATTTACCCCAATGCAACAGCTCCCCTTCCACTTCCTCCCCATAGTTACCTCTTCTCTGTGTCCATCCCTCCATGCACTCCTGCCCCGAGCTGTCTCCCTGTGCATAAACAGCCTCTCTTTCTCCCATGATTGTTCTCTCCAAGGAGTGTATCTACCTCAGGTACATGTTCAACTCATATGCCTGTCTTTTCTTTGTCTGGAAGCCACGGGTATGGGTTCAATTCCAGACCTGAAGGGCAACTAGGGACCATAGTCTTAGTGGTTCTACCAGGCTCTATCAGACCAGCAAAGCTGGTCCCCCCCCTTTTTTCTTCCCAAATGATTTTGAGTTTTGTTCCACATTGTTCTCCCTCTCTATCCAGGATCTCCTCTATAGATCCCCCTCTGAATGACTGACGGTGGTAGCCAGGCACCATCTACTTCTGATCTCATAGTCATATAGGCTGCGGATCACATGGTATACCGATCGCTGTTGTTGTTATGTGCCATTGAGTTGGACCCGACTCATAGCAACCCTTCCTTGGGTTTCCGAGGCAGTATCACTACGGAAGTAGATTGTCCCATCTTCCTTCTGAGGAGTGGCTGGTGGGTTTGAACCACCAGCCTTCTGGTTAGCAGTCAAGTGCCTTAGGCACTACGCTACCAGAGCTCCCAGTCGCTAGGACTAATTGTCTCCATGAATCTTTGGTTTTCTTCATTCTTCTTTGCTGTGGACAAGGAGAGACCCATCCTTGCATCTAGATGGCTGCCTGCAAGCTTTTAAGATCCCAGTCGCTACTCGCCAAAGTAGGAGATGGAACAATGTTTTGTGTAGTATGTTATGCCAATTGAGCTTGATGTCCCCTGTGACAATGGTCCTGAGCCCACAGGTTCAACTACTCAGTCCCTCTGTGACCAAGAAGTGACTACAACCTTGTCCCTTGTCAGCTCTACTGAGTTCTTTAGATTTGCTATTCCCAATTACGTATTCTTTGAACCATAACCCCCTCTCCTGGCTAGTGTCAGCTGAAAACAGCCTACAGCAAGATGACCCTGAGAAAGAAGACAAGATAAAGGAGAAATGGAGATCTGCCTGGTGCGGGGAGAGGTCTGAGGATGCCCACTCCCCCCCTCCCCCCCCCCCCCCCCGTGGAGTTAACCTCTCTAGGCAGGCGTGAGGAACCTGAAACACACTTCTGATCAAGGATGTTTTCTTATCACTGACCGGAAGAAGAGCTGAGAGGACGCAAGACAACTAGGACTCATCCCATAACAGGAAGAAAAGATTATCAGCACTCCCCAAATCCCCGCACCCCCTCAGTTCAAATCCCTTTAAAAACCCTAACCACCCCCAGCTCTGGGAGACAGGCATTTTACAGAAACGCTTGTCTCCTTGGGTACTGATACTTAATACCTTTTGCTTTCTCTCTTCAACCTGTTGTGGTCACTGGCTCTTCGCCACAGGGGTAAGGACTTTGTTTTCCTACACCTTGCTCCCTCCAGCTCCGAGGCTCCTGGCCCCAAGCCTCCTAGGTCAGGCAGGCCCCGTCCCACGTACCCTTTGGCCTCACCCTGGTCAGGTCCCCTCTATCTTCCCGCAGCTGCGCTCGACCGGGAAGCGTTGCCCTTTCCCACAGCCCCATCCCTACTCCACAGCGCAGGTTCAGGCTCGCCTAGGGCGGGGACTAGGGAGCGCCTTCCAGTTGCGAAGGGCGGGGACGCAGACCCATCTCTTTAAGAACTGGCCTAGAGGCGCCTGGACACCGCGGGCGGCGTTAGGCGGTCCGGAGAGACGCGCGAGACCAGGCTTCGGCTCGCCTGCGCTGCCGGAGGCGCCATGGGCCGCTACCGCATCCGTGTGGCCACCGGCGCCTGGCTCTTCTCTGGCTCGCAAAACCGCATACAGCTGTGGCTGGTCGGAGCGCGCGGGGCTGCGGAGCTGGACCTGCAGCACCGACCCGCGCGAGGCGAGGTCAGCAGCGGGGAGGGGCAGGGCCGGCCCGGATGGGCTCGAACCGGAGGGCGAGTCCGGACGCGGGAGATCGGGACTGGACGAGGCGACGGGTGCTACCGCGCTGTGCCTTCCAGGAAACTCTGGCGCTGGCGGGGAAGCGGAGCAGGGCGGTGGGTCAGGATCCCTGGGTCCATCCTGAGGCTCAAGCCCCTTCTCCCTACCCCCGAATCCAACTCCCTCCCCAAGTGAACCCTGAGCCAGTGCAAATGTGCCATCAGTGGGCAGATGTGCAGCTCCTCCTGACATCAGAGGAGCTCGGTAATGGTCCTGATGGGGTGTTCGGTTTGAAACACTAACTGCGGGCCACGCACTGCCGCACCCGTCTTCCTGGTGAAATGGGGGTCTAAGGTCCACGGTGCTGCTTGTCCTGAGCAGAGAATGGGGTGATGATGTTTTTGCAGGCCTTGCTTAACTGTGAGGCTCCACGAAGGAGCTGCTCCACCAGCAAAAGGCCTCTCCGCGGTGCCTACTACAAAGTCTCGCCCGTTCTGGCCCTGCAGGTGGAGGAGTTTGAACACGACATCCCCGAGGACTTGGGTCCACTGCAGTTCGTGAAGCTGCGCAAACACCACTCCCTGGTGGAAGACGCGTGGTTCTGCGACCGCATCACGGTGCAGTGCCCCGGGGCCAGCACGGTGGCGGCCTTCCCGTGTTACCGCTGGGTGCAGGGCCAAGACGTCATGAGTCTGCCCGAGGGCACCGGTGAGGGGCAGAGTGGAGGAAGGGCTGCAGGCCTCAAAAACTGCTAGAGGGGGCAGGGCAGGGCTGAGGAAGGTCGGAGGGGTTGAGAGAAGGGGTGCGCAGGGGCAGATTGAGAATGAGGAACTCAGGATGCTAGAAGCCGGAAAATAAAGTCTTGAATGTTTACAAGAGGAGGCTGGGGCCAGGAAATAAGGGATCTGGAGAGTCAGTCTTGAAGCAGGTTGAGGTCAGGGAATTGGAGTTGCAGCAATGATGAGAAATAAAGAGTCAAAGTAAAAGCATAAAGGTGATCCCTGTGACTCAGAACAAGTTAGGGCGGCGACAGGTAAGGGTAACACATGCAACAGGAGGTGGCAGGTCATGGGTAAGCAGGAGACAGCTGAGACAGCTGAGGGTGACAAACACTAAGGCTCTGGAGAGCTGGTAAGGTTGGAAACCCATGGAAGACAACGTAAAGGACAGGAGAACACGGCAGCGGGGCTGGGGATGAGTGAGGATAGAAACTGGAATTTGTTACTGGGGCAAACAAGGGAGTCAAACGAATACAGAGAATGGAGGACAAAGATGGGTAAGGATGGGAACATCAAGTTTGTGTCTTTGAGGGACAAGTGAGCAACATACAGATGACAGCAGGAGCAGGTCACTAAATATAGACAATCATGGTAAATCCAGAAAAGGCGAAACCAAGTGAAGAACACAAACATGGACCGTTTTAAAGGATGGTGAAGGTGTAGACAGGTAAAGCCAGGACAAATGAAATGAAACAAAGCAATATGTAATCAAAAATAGGTGTGGGTATGTGAGCAGCTAAGATTTTATCACCTTAATTAAGGTGATTTATCCAGTGACAGATATTGATGAAACAGGGTCAGGTAAGGGAAGATGTTGAAATCAACACAATGGCAGAGTTGGTTGGTTGGTTGGTTGGTTGGTTAGGGGAAAATGAGTTAAAGGATAAGAAAGGGTGTCAAGCATGGAGTTTTATCTCAAGGCAGGAGACGAGGACAAGGCTGACAAGGACGGGATTACTGCGTCAGGGGATCAAGCAAGTGAAGCAAAAAAAAGAAAAAACCCTCATGGCCATGAAGTGGATTCTCACTCACAGTGACCCCCACTGGGTTTCCAAGGCCATAAATCTTTACGGGGAGCACTGGTGGCACAGTGCCTAAGGCATATGACTGCTAACCAGGAGGCTGGCGGTTCAAATCCTTCCGCTCCCTGGAAGGAAGATGGGACAATCTACTTCCACGGAGATAGCACCTCAGAAATCCAAGGAGGGGTTGCTATGAGTTGGATCCGATTCGATGGCAATGAGTTTGGTTTGGCTTTGATTAAGTCTTTATGGAAGCAGAATGCCTCATCTTTTTTCCACAGAGCAGCTGGTGGTTAACAGCAAAATGCCTTAACCACTACACCACCAGAGCGCCTTAAGTGAAGCAAAGGCAGAGATAAAAGCAATAGAGCATGACTACAAATATGGGAGATGATTACTAAGGGGCAATGGGCAGCAGCGGTTAGCATAGGACCAGACCAAGCAGTCTGGTGAAGCCTCTTAATGCCTCCCCAGCCCGCCTGGCAGTAGACAATCCTTTGGATGTGTTCCAGAAGCACCGAGAGAAAGAACTGGAAGAAAGACAGCAAATCTACTGGTAACCAACCATCCACAGGCCTCCCAACTGCCTACTTCCTCCCTGACCCCCCCATCACTGACCCTTCCTGTTCCCTGAACCCTTATGCCTAACTCCTAGCTGGGCCTCCTGGAAGCAAGGATTACCCCTGACAATAGCTGCAAACAGTAAGGATGATCTACCTCCAGATGTGAGGTTTCACGAGGAGAAGAGGCTGGACTTTGAACTGACACTGAAGGCAGGGTAAGGAAAAAGTCCGGGTGGAGTGAGGGCTAGGCAATCCCAGAATGGTAAGCGGTGGCAAGCGGTGAGGGGCTGAGGGATCAGATGATGGGTTCATGCCTGGCTACCTGTCCTAGGGCTCTAGAGATCGCCCTCAAGCGTGTTTATACGCTCCTGAGCTCCTGGAACCACCTGGAGGATTTCGATCAGATCTATTGGGGCCAGAAGAGTGTGCTAGCTGGTCAGTGATCCCCCAGGTCTCCATAACCCTCTGACTCCTTTGACCTATCCATCGCATTCCATAGTATACCCCAGCCCCCAACTCCTTGTCAAATGAGAACTTATCATGGCTGGTCATCTCACTCCAAAAAACTCAAAACCAAACTCACCGCTATTGAGTTGATTCCAACTCAAAGCAACCCCCAATGGGTTTCTGAGGCGGTAAATCCTTATGGAAGTAATTGTCCCATCTTCCTCCCATGGAATAGCTGGTGGGTTTGAACTGCCAACATTCTGGTTAGCAGTCAAATGCCTTAGTCACTGTGCCATCAGAGCTCCATAGATGACCAGAGGTCATCTGACAGAAGCCTCAAAAGTGTAAAAAATAGGGCTGAATTCCATGGTTATATGCCTGGATCCCTGAGGTACAGGGTCTGGAGGAGAGGGACCCAGGCTGTGGTCAATACCCTTCTCCCCACCCCCCCAGAAAAGGTTCACCAGTGCTGGCAGGATGATGAGCTTTTTGGCTATCAGTTCCTCAATGGTGCTAACCCCATGCTGCTGAGACGCTCCACATCTCTGCCCTCCCGGCTAGTGCTGCCTTCAGGGACAGAGGAACTTCGGGCCCAGTTGGAGAAAGAACTCCAGGTAGCTCCTCCCACCCTCCATTCTTCTCTTCTCAGCAATGTGGCAAGGAGAATCGGTGAAGGGGAGAAACCAAAGATGAGTGCAAAGGAAGGGAGGCTACAGGAACCCACTGCCCTTGATGTAGAGTCTTACACCTCTAGAAAAACCTAGAGATGATAAATTATGTACAGAAAAAAAAAATAATGAGGAGCTCCCAGAATGAAAGTCGACACAGGATGGATCCCCAGGGCAAGAATGGGGCCACAGATATTTACTAGTGGGGATGACATTCCTGGCTAGATATCAGTGCTTGGACACCAGTGTCCATGGGCAGGAAGAAGGTGGGTAAGCTGTCAGTTTAGAAGAATCAGGAGCTTTCCTGGAAAAGAGCTGGGTTTGGAAGAGATGAACTGGATATGAGGACAACGATAAGCCTAGGCAGGGGTGGGTGAGTGTGTGTGTGTGTGTGCACGCTCAGTTTAATAGCAGTAGTAGCTAGAGGAACCTCTCTGGATTCCTTGCAGATGGGAGGAGGTAAGGGCAAGGAGTAAAGGGTGGTTCGCTGGGCCAGTGGGACCAAACACAGAGGCAGGTAGTAAGGGGTGGGGAGATGATTGGGGAATGGGTCTGGCCATCTTGACAAGGGGGGGAGCTTAGCAAACATCTTCCATGGTTCTGAATTTAGGTCAACCATCACACATCCCTGGACGAAAACATCTCTCCTCACTAGGCTTGTTTCTTTACTTTAAAATGAAAGAATTGGACCTAATGATCTGATTCAACCGTTAAGATGCTGGTAGTGATATACAGGCATACCTCACACATACTGCAGGTTTGGTTCCAGACCACCACAATAAAGTGAATATCACAATCAATAAAGCAAGTTACATGAATGGTCTGGTTTCCCAGTGCGTATAAAAGTTATGTTTATACTATACAGTAGTCTATTAAGTGTCCAATAGCATTATAAAAAAGCTTGAAATATTTTGAGAATTATCAAAACGTGGCACAGGAACATAAAATGAGCACATGCTATTTTCTAATTTTTCTAATAAGAAAAATGGTGCCAAAAGACTTGCTCGGTGCAGGGTTGCCAAAAACCTTCAATTCGTAAAAGATGCAGTATCTGCAAAACCCAATAAAACAAGATATGCATGTAGGATGATAGCAAGAAGCTGGACCCCATACCTTTAAACGTCTTGCCTTTTGTCCTGTTCTCTGGGGGGTAGACTTTGAACTCTAATCATGTATTTGTCCTCTTTTCTCCAGAATGGTTCCTTATTTGAGGCTGACTTCATCCTGCTGGATGGGATTCCAGCTAACGTAATTCGAGGAGAGAAGCAGTACCTGGCTGCACCTCTCGTCATGATGAAAATGGAACCTAATGGGAAGCTGCTACCCATGGTCATCCAGGTGAGTGCCCGGGCATCCCACTCCCGACACTGTTCTCTCTTCCCATCACCCTCTGCTCCAGGGACCCAGGCTCCCGGCTCTTGGCTCCCAAGCCCCAACCTCATTCAGTAACACCCATCCTCATGTCACTGTGCTTGCTTGCAGCCAGGTCATCCCTGACTCACTCAACTGGAATTACTTGTTCAAGAGTCTTAATGACCTTTTCTGAGTTCTTATCCTTCAGCTCAATGGTGCGCAAACCTTAGTGTGCATCAGAATCACCTGAAGGGCTTGTTAAAACACAGGGTGCCAGACCCCACCCCAGACTCTGATGCAGCAGGTCTGGGATGGAGACAGACTTACATTTCTAACAAGTTCTAAAATGATGCTGATGCAGCTCTTTAGGGACAACGCTTTGAGAATAAATACAGTCCTTCAGAGGCCTCTGACTCTGAGCACTCATTCTCTTTTGAATATCTTTTCTCGCCAATCAGCCAGCTGACATATGCTGTCAATTTCCCTACACATCCAGCTTCTCCTTCCCATTCTACTATCTGAATGCAGACCCTATCACATTTCCCCAAAACCACTGTCAGGCCCCCCTCACTGGTCCCTGCTTACAGTCTCTCCTTCATCCAAGCTGACCAACATGGCACTTACACAGCTCTCCAGCTAGTAAGAGGCAGAGTGAAAGGGTCTTCGTTCCTTACACTGGATTACAACCTCCTGGAAGGCAGTTTTCTTAGTCATCTCTGTTTCCTCTACAATGCTAAGCATAGTGTCATATTGTTGTTGTTGTTATGTGCCATTGAGTCAGCCCCCGACTCATAGCAACCCCTCCTTGGGTTTCCGAGGCGGTATCACTACGGAAGTAGATCGCCCAACCTTCCTTCCAAGGAGTGGCTGGTAGGTTTGAACCACCAGCCTTCTGGTTAGCAGTCAAGTGCCTTAGGTACTACGCTACCAGAGCTCCTAGTGTCATAGTTAGTGGAAGTTCAATAAATGCTTAATTTCTCTTTCCCCAGCTCCAGCCTCCCAACTCCAGCTCCTCCACGCCACCACTCTTCTTACCCTCAGATCCGCCACCTGCTTGGCTCCTGGCAAAGTGCTGGGTCCGAAATTCAGACTTCCAACTGCACCAACTCCAGTATCATTTGCTGAATACTCATCTCTTGGCTGAGGTCATCGCTGTTGCCACCATGAGGTGCCTCCCAGAAATGCACCCTCTCTTCAAGGTACAGGCTCAACCTTCCCAGTCCTCTCTCTCAGACTCAAGAAAGGAAACGTTCTAATACCAAGTAATATTGCAACAACAAAAAATCTTCATAGCCATTTGTGAATGAAGAAGGGGCAAAGACAAGGAAGACTGTGTCAAAATCTTGATCCTTATATTTTTATTAAGTCAAGTCAATTAATGTTTCTTCAGGACATATTATAAGGTAGGTCTCTGAAATTCTCAGAAATCTGTTGTGTGCTATCGATTCCAACTCACAGCAACCTTACAGGACAGAGTAGAATTGCCCTATAGGGTTTTCTAGGCTTTGCAGGAGAAGACTGCCACATCTTTCTCCTGCAAAGCAGCTGGTGGGTTCAAATCACCAACATTTCAGTTAGCAGGTACGTGCTTAACCACTGCACTAACAGGGCTCCTTGCACAAATCTTAACAACCCAGAAATGGGCTTGGAACACAGCTGGTAAAACAGAAGCCTTATTCCTGCCTGAGGAGACTTATTATTTAACTTGGAAGACAAGTGGTATCCATAAGAACCAACCAGAAAACAGTATCTGGAAATTAGTTTAAAATCAATGTAAAATTAATTTTAAATACTATGTTGTTGTTGTTGTTATGTGCTGTCGGGTCAGCCCCGACTCATAGCGACCGCTCCTTGGGTTTCCGAGGCAGTATCACTACAGAAGTAGATTGCCCAACCTTCCTTCCGAGGAGTGGCTGGTGGGTTTGAACCGCCAGCCTTCTGGTTAGCAGTCAAGTGCTTTAGCCACTATGCTACCAGAGCTCCTTTAAATACTATAGGAGAATATAAATATCAACCCAAGTAAGGATTCTGCTAAGTAGAAAGAGAATGAATGAATGAATGAATGAATGAATAAGTATTCAAGGAGTAGCCCTGCAAAGCTACATGCCCAAGAAAGAAATGGATAAAGACATGCATTAACATGGTGGTGACAGGAATGGAAGGGGAAAATCAAAAACTTTGGTGATGGGGAAAGAGTAGCTGCCACAAGACTAGGCATCAAAGTAAAGAAAGATCAGCGTTTTTGCAACAGCTAGGAGCCCAAAGAGTAGGTGTGTTTTACCAACTTCTACTATAACTTTTTTAAAAAGTGAGTCCAGTATTCATTTTTAAGCAGAAGGCAACAAAATAAGATTTGTGATAGTTTAAAGAATGTTTTCAAAATTCTTGAACCAGAGCAATTGTCAGAAACAGTAAAGTCAGGAGAGGAAGCCAGTTTGTGACAAAGATGAGGTGCTCGGTTTTAGATATATGGAGACTGAAATGCTGGCAAGATTGCAAATGAGTACTAGGCAGGCATAACAATTAGACGTGTTTCTGCTCGGGCTTCCACCCCTACCCCCAAACCTGGCCAAAAGCAGATGTGGCTTCTTTGGGTTCTATGAAAACACAGGCAGTCTGATGAATAGTCTTGGATTTACTCATCTCATGATCAATCTCATGATCTCTTACTACCTTCTGCCCTGACAGGTAAAGCTACTCTTCACACCTAAAACTTCCCTTACTAGTTCAGCCACTCCCCATCTGTCCCACAACAAACACCTGAGTTGTTATCAGGATACACAGGAGGGGCTGCATGTCATCATAGTTACCTGTACAGGCTATGGATTCTGATTGTCGAGGACTGAATCCTGGATCGGTAGTTACCAAATGTATGCTACAGTGTCTTCACTCTAAATGGGGATAACAGGGTGTCTATCATGGGTTGTGAAAGCATTAAATGACATAACCAAATGATATGATGCAGACTAAATGCTACAAAAAAAGAGGAGGAGGAGCTGTTTCTCATCAGTTATCTTCTCTCCTCTTGTGGACTCTGGGCTTTCTAAGAAACTCACGGTATCTTTCCATGAACTTTCTGGAAAGTGTCAGACCAAGCTGAGCTGCTTTGATCTCAGCAGCAGTCGGTCCTTTCCTGTGTCCAGGATGAACAAGTCAAATGTTGCTGTTGTTAGTAGGTGCCACTGAGCTGGTTTTGACTCATAATAATCCCATAAATACCAAAAAATCAAACCAAACTCACTGCCATCAAGTCAATTCCTACCCATGGTGACCCCCTTTGGGTTTCCAAGGCAGTAAATCTTTACGGAAGTAGATTGCACAGTCTTCCTTCTGCAGAGTGGCTGGTGGGTTTGAACCATCAACCTTCTGGTTTGCAGTCAAATGCCTTAGGTACTATGCCACCAAGTTCCTTAATCCCATGTATACCAGAACAAAATGTTGCCTGGTCATATATTATCCTTAAAATAGTAAGTATAGTTGAGCCCATTGTTGCAGCCACTGTGTCAATCCATCTTGTTGAGGGTCTTCCTCTTTTTCATTCATCTTCTACTTTACCAAGCATCATATCCTTCTCCAGGGATGGATCTCTCCTAATAGCAGGTCCAAAGTAAGTAAGACCAAATCTGGCTATCCTTGCTTCTAAGAAGACTTCCGGCTGTACTTCTTCCAAGAAAGATTTGTTTTTTCTTCTGGCAGTCCATGGCATAGTCAATATTCTTCACTAACACCATAATCCATATGCATAAATTCTTCTTTGGTCTTCCTTTGTCCAGCTGTTGCATGCGAAGCAAGTGAAGATACCACTGCTTGAGTCAGGCATACCTTGGTCATCAAAGTGACATTCCACTTTTTAATGCTTTAAAGAGGTCTTTTGTCCGATGCAGTGTGTTGTCTGATTTCTTGACTGCTGCTTCCATGGGCTTTGATTGATGATCGAAGTAAAATGAAACCCTTGACAGCGTCAATGTTTTCTCTTTAATCATGATGTTGTTTATTGGTCCAGTTGTGAGGATTTTTGTTTTATGTTGAGATGTAATCCGTACTGAGGGCTGTAGTCTTTGATCATCATCGGTAAGTGCTTCAAGGCTTCTTCACTTTCAGCAAGCAAGGTGGTGTCATCTGAGTATTGCAGGTTGCTAATCAATCATCCTGCAATCCTGATGCCGCATTCTGTATACAGTTCAGCTTTTCAAATCATCTGCTCAGCATACAGAGTGAAGAAGTCAGATAAATACCTAATTTGCATGAATCCTGTATATCAATTGTAAGACTATGAAGACAAAATAGTCTAAGTAAAGGAGAGGCACGTGAGGATCAGGCAGCCTTTTTCACTAGCTAAGGGAAAACACTGGCCTAAAAGTCCCTAACTGGAGCTGTGGTTGACTGGAGATGCGCTCTGCCGCACACGCAGGTAGCTCTATATGGCTCCTTTAATTCTGGCTGAAGACACCCTATCCATCCCCCCCAAAAAAAGTGGAAAAAAAAAAGGAGTAAAATGACCAGCGATGAGCTTTGAAAATGAGCAGCAAGGCTAGGTTAAGCTGTGAGGATATGATTGGTAAAAGAAGTATAAAAGAATGTCAAAAGTTAAAGGGCTGATTCTTAAAGGACACCTCCACTCAAGGTGGAAATGATAATGGTAATGATAACAGCTACTATTTGAGGACTGTGTGCCAGGCACCTTGCTAAGCACTCTTCATAATCACTCACTTAAGCATCACCACAGCCCCCTGAAGTAGGAGACCCTATTATTCCCCTCTGAGGATTTATTACCTTGGCCAACTTCCAAAGAGTGGTGAACCACAGACTCAAACCCCAGTCAGTCTGGCTCCAGAGCCCAGCTCCCAGCAGAGTCAAAGACATGAGAGTGAGTAATCAGAGAAGGAAACCAGCCTGTCCAGGCAGCCACCTAGGAAGGCACCTAGAAAAGAAAAGGCACCTGGGCACCTGGACCTCACTCCCTAGAAGGAAGGGCTCAATGTGGCCTCCACTAATCACCCCCTCCACTCCCCTCCACCCCAGCTCCTGATCCCCCATATCCGCTATACCATGGAAATTAACACCCGGGCCCGGACTCAACTCGTATCAGAAGGAGGCATATTTGATAAGGTAGGTAAAGAAGGGACGGGGCCACCCGATCATCCATCTCTCTATGGCCTCCTACCACCTTCAGGGTCTCAGACTAATGATGTGTGAATGCCCTGCCTCTTTATACCCATGACTCTAAATCTGAAAACCCAGTAGTTGAACCCCTTATATATCATTCCATGATTCCGAGACCTTGTCCCTCAATCCCTCTCAACTCTCTTGTCCCAGGCTGTGAGCACAGGAGGAGGGGGCCACGTGGCCTTGCTCCGTCGGGCAGGGGCACAGCTGACCTACCGCTCCCTCTGTGCACCCAATGACCTGGCTGACCGGGGCCTGCTGGGACTCCCAAGTGCGCTCTATGCCCAGGATGCTTTACAGCTCTGGGCAATCATTGGCCGGTAGGTGAGAGTGGCAGCTGAGTAATGGAGGGGGAGGGGGGAAGGAGGAGAGGCTGTGGCTTGAGGTATACATGAGGCAAAAGAAAAATGAAAAGAAACAAGAAAAAGAAGAAGGTCTAACCAGATGTGGCAGAAAGACAAAGCCTAGGGAGAGATGAAGAAGAGTGAGGAGATGGTGGGAAGGGTCTGAAAAGGAAGAGTCATAGGGTAGAGAGCCCAGTAGTGAAAGCTGTGTGGGGAGATTACGGGACCTAGAGGGATCAAGGTTTTTGTTAGGAAGACCAGGTACTGTACCTGTATAGGGAATTCCAGGAGCTAATGACCCCCTTCCCTGTTCTCTCTACACTACTGAGTAGAAAGAGCTGGAGAATGTCCCCAAAGGTAAGTCTGGGAGGATCTGTCCTGAGATGCACTGAGCGACAGTGAGCAGAAGTGGGCAGAGGCCACAGAAAAGGGGAGTAAAGTCAGCGCTTCCTCCCCTCAAAGAGCTCACCTCCCTCCCCCCTTGGCAGGTATGTGGAGGGAACTGTCCACCTCTTCTACGAAAGGGATGATGTGGTGAGAGGGGACTCTGAGCTGCAGGCCTGGTGTCGGGAGATCACTGAGGTGGGGCTGTGCCAGGCCCAGGACCGAGGTACGATCCCTCCCCAGAAAAGGGAACTCCTCTCAGTCCTGCTCTTCTGGGGACAAGACCCCAAACCCTCATCACACCCCTGCCTCCACACACCAAAGCTTCTGAATCCCATTCACACCCAAGAAAACAGACTGTCCCAGCTAAGGACAATTCTAGATACCCAAGGATTATCGTCTCAGACACCCCAGCCATCAACCCCTACTCCCATCCCCCAGTTGCAGTCACACAGGCCCCTAACTCACCATAGAGTAGGGCCCAACCAGGGCAGATGCACAGCCAGTGAAAGGTTTCTGTCCAGCCTCTGCTAATCTTTTCATGGTTCCCTATCTCCCTACCTGAGCATATAAACGGGGCAGATGTTCCTTCTGAAGTCCATGATACCCTAATCTGGTTTTCCCTCCCTTCCTGCTTGCTACTGCCTAGCACCCACAGGTGGCTCCCACTTACCACAGCGCAAGGTCATTTCTAGATACAAATGCAATACTGTATAAGCTTTGGCTGAAACCTGAACTCAGTGCCTGGATCCCAGGGCTCACATTTCTTTGGTCAATCCACCTCCTCACTATAATCCAGTCACTATCTTTATTCCCTGCTCCATTTTAATCTGAGAGGAAGAAATCACCTCTCTCTCTCTCTCTCTTTTTTTTTAATTGTGATTTGGGTGAAAGTTTATAGAGCAAATTCACTTTCCATACAGCACCTCACATATACTTTGTCTCATAACATTGACTGCAATTTCCCACAATCCAACAGCTCCCCTGCCACTTCCTCCCCATAGTTACCTCTTCCAGCATCCTTCCCTCCCATGCACTCCTGCCCCCGAGCTGTCTCCCTGCACACACACAGCCCTTCTATTCTCCCATGATTGTTCTCTCCAAGGAGTGTATCTACCTCAGGTAAATGTTTAGCTCCTATGCCTGACTTTTGTTTGGCTGGAAGCCACAGGAGTGGATTTAATTCCAGACCTGAAAGGCAGCTGGGGGCCACAGTCTCAGTGGTTCCATCAGGCTCTATCAGACCAACAAACCTGGTCCCCACCCCCCTTTTTATGCAATGATTTTGCGTTTTGTCCCACATTGTTCTCCCACTCTATCCAGGATCTCCTACATAGATCCCCCTCTGAGTGGCTGACAGTGGTAGCCGGGCACCATCTAGTTCTTCTGGTCTCATAGTGGTATAGGCTGAGGATCACATGGTATACCAGTCACTTGGACTAATTGTTTCCATGCATCTTTGGTTTTCTTCATTCTTCTTTGCTCTGGATGAGGAGAGACCCATTGTTGCATCTAGATGACTGCTTGCAAGCTTTTAAGATCCCAGTCACTACTCACCAAAGTAGGATGTGGAACAATGTTTTTGTGTAGTGTGTTATGCCAATTGAGCTAGATGTCTCCTGCAACCATGGCCCCGAGCCCACAGGTCCAACTACTTGCTCCCTCTGGGTAGCTGGCTGTGTCCAAGAAGTGACTTCAACCTTGGCCCTTGTCAGCTCTACTATATACCTGGGAATTCTTACAAAACATACCAATATACTTGTAAAAACACTGTCTGCCAAGCCTATACATGGTCTTGGATACACTCCCCTCTGCATAGACATACCTAATAGTTTAGCCTGTCCACCCATCTATCTACCTGTAGATCAATGTTTGCCTTCACTGACAACACAGTACTCTATGTGCAAAAGGGTTCATCTTTGTTGTCTGTACCTCCCATGTACCTCTCTATGTCTTCCTCTTCCTCAAGGCCACTGTGTTGATTACTCACATTTGGTGCATTGCCCTTCTCTTCATCTAAATCAATACTTGTCTCTACCTATCTAGCAGTGTTCCCTCCACTCCCCTCCCACCCCTGGTAACCAACAAAGAAAATTTCCTTCCATATATAAACCTTTCCTTGACTTTTTACAATAACGGAGTAATACAATATTTGTCCTTCTCGAAATCACCTCTTTGAGCTCATTCCAAGTTCACACTCCTCTCCAGCACACATGAGCTAGCCTGAATTGCTTCAGATCATCCTTCAGCCCCTGCCCCTTCATACTTCTGACCAACTCCTTGAATTCCATCCTCTGCTTCTGAGAGATGATAAGCATTTACAGGGCAGCTATTATGGCCAGGTCTTGGGGATACAGGATCAATAAACCAACATCCCTGCCCTGGGGGATCTGGGACTGTATGACCCCCAGCATTCCAGGAACAAACTTCCTCTAGCAGTTTTCAGTACTGTCCCTCAGGCATGACAGCCCCCCCAAAAAATCCTATTTTCTCCCTTTGCTCATCTTCTCCCCAAACTTTATCTACATTTGGAAATTTAAAATTTACTTTAACCTCCATTAACATCTCTCACTACCCTCTCCTCCTTACTCTCCCTCAGTTCTCATAGCTCACTTTTGCCTAATTTTCCCAACACCTTTTAGAGGAAGTGTGCTAAAATTAAAAAGCATGGGATTTAAGTTGAGCATAAAATAATTTTAAAAAATAAAAAGCATGGGATTTGCAGTCAGGTACCCGAGTTCAAGATCAGTCTCTGACTTTTCCCAATTATGTAATCCTGACAACCAGTTTACTCTCTCTGGCCTTTAGTTTTCTTATCAAGAAAATGAGCATAATTATATTTGTTCCACTTGAGTGACAGGATTATTGAGCATCTCAGCCCCATCTTCAACCTTCACTGTAAACTGAGTGGCCTGGGATAACTCTCTAGGAAGCCCCTTCTAGCTATGAATCTAGAAACCCATGACTTCTCTTATTCCCAGCCTTGTAACTCAGCCACCAGTAATGCCCTCTCTGGAAACAGAAGGAAGCATCCCTAAATTCTTAATTTTAACTTTTTGAGGCACAGGATATTTGATCACTCAAATCCTCCCATAGTAACAATAATTCTTATTTACTGAGCACCCATTCCATTCCATTCCAGGTAATCAATACATTATCCAGTTTATAATGTTGTTGGGTACCATTGAGTTAATTTTGATTCACAGCAACCCCACAGAACTGCTCCATAGGGTTTTCTTGGAGGTAATCTTTATGAAAGTAGAATACCAAGTCTTTCTCTCCTGAAGCCGCTGGGTGGGTTTGAACGGCCAATCTTTCGGTGACAGGCCAAACATTTAACCATCTGCACCACCAGGGCTTTTGCATGAGGTAGAACTGACCAAATTTCACAGGTGAAGAAATCGAGATTCAGAGAGATTAAATAATCCAAGCCGAAGTCCCTGAATGGCACAAATAGTTTGCACTTGGGTACCAACCAAAACGTTGGTGGTTCAAATCCACCCAGTGGCATCACGAAAGAAAAGCCTATCAATCTACTTCCCTAAGATTACAGCCGCTGAAGACCCTGCAGAGTGCAGTCCTACTCTCAGAGACTTGGGGTCACCACGAATCGGCTGATCTCGGAGAGCCTGGGGATGCCGTTCCCAGGCATGGCGTTCTACTTCCCTAAGATTACAGCCGCTGAAAACCTTATGGAATGAAGTTCTAGTCTGAAGCGCATGGGGCTGCCCTGAGTTGGAATCAACCTGGTGGCACTGTTTTTAATCCAAGCTATGAATGCTTGAGCAAGGACTGAAATCCATGTCTGATACAAACATATTTGAAAAAATACACAAATGAATAAACACTCATCAATTCTAAAATATGGACATCCAAAGATAACAGCTTTTACTTCTTTCCTTTCATGCTGGAGACTCTAAATCCTGTTCCTTTCCTGCCCAGGTTTCCCTGTTTCCTTCCAGTCCCGAGCTCAACTCTGCCATTTCCTTACCATGTGTGTGTTCACATGCAGTGCCCAGCATGCAGCCGTCAACCAGGGCCAGGTATGGACAGCCAAAAACCCAAGTCCTTGAGGGCATGTGTCTGGACTTTGGGATGCCCAAGGGAGAGGGGTGAGGGCTAGGACCCTAAGTACCAGGGTTCCCCGAGTTACAATTTCTTCCCCTAGATGGACTGGTATGGCTGGGTCCCCAATGGCCCATGCACAATGCGGATGCCCCCACCCACCACCAAGGAAGATATAACAATGGCCACAGTGATGGGGTCACTACCTGATGTCCAGCAGGCCTGTCTTCAAATGAATATCACACGGCATCTGGGTCGGCGGCAGCCAGATATGGTGAGAGTGGACTCTGGGTAAAGGGAAATGATGGAAAGGGGCTAGGACCTAAGCACACCTGTCTTGGGACTGGGAGCTGACTGTTCCTTTGTTCTGTCTCAGGTGCCTCTGGGGCATCACAAAGAAAAATACTTCTCAAGCCCCAAAGCCAAGGCTGTGCTAAAGCAATTCCAGAAAGATTTAGAAAACCTGGAAAAGGAGATTACAGCCCGGAATGAGCAACTTGAACTGCCCTACGAATACCTGAAGCCCAGCCGCATAGAGAACAGCATCACTATCTGAGCCCTGAATTGCCCCAAGAACTGGCATTTGCATCTGGAGTATATGCTTCCCTAAATTTCTACTGCTAACACTCTATCTCCTTGCCCAATTGAGCCACCTACATGACTATCCCCCTAGCTGCAGGGGCAGCAAACTTTTCCTGTAAAGGGCCAAACAATAAATATTTGAGGCACTGGGACCACACAGTCTCTGTCACAACTACTCAACTCTGCCACTGTAGCAAGAAAACAGCCACAGGCAAAACATAAAGGAATGAGTGTGACAGCATTCCAATAAAAGTTTATTTACAGACACCGAAATTTGAGCTTCATTGTCAGAAAACATTATTCCTTTTTGTAAGACCATTTCAAAATGCAAAAGCCATACTTAGCTCAAGAGGCTTGCACAGGCTGGATTTGGCCCTCATAACTGTACCCTGCACTAGCCTAGAGTAATGACCCTACTTCCAAATCACCTGAGATCATGTGGGAGATTTCTTGAAGAAATTACCTAATGAATTCTCCATTCCCAGGAACCAGACTTCATGCCTGGTAGCCACCTTACGAACAGCATCGTGACTATCACACACAAGTAAAATCTTGCTGAAGATAATTCAGAAGTGATTGCAGCAGGACATCGACAGGGAACTGCCAGAAATTCAAGCCGGATTCCAAAGAGGATGTAGAACGAGGGATATCATTGCTGATGTCAGATGGATACGGCTGAAACAAAGAATACCAGAAAGATGTTTGTTGTTATTGTTGTTAGGTGCTGTCGAGTTGGATCCGACCCACAGAGACTCTATGTACAACAGAACGAAACACTGTCCAGTCCTGTGCCAGCCTCACAATCCTTGCCCATCATTCCAGCCACTGTGTCAATCCATCTCCTTGAGGGCCTTCCTCTTTTTCATTGACCCTCCACTTTACCAAACATGACATCCTTCTCCAAGGAATGGTCCCTTCTGACAACATGACCAAATTAGGTGAGATGAAGTCTGGCCAGTCTCACTTCCAAGGAGCATTCCAGCAGCACTTCTTCCTGGGCAAATTTGTTCGTTCTTTTGGGCAGTCCATGGTACTTTCATTATTTTTTCACCAGCACCATACTCTCACATGCACGAGGTGACTGAAAATACCATGGCTTGGGCGCACCTTAGTCTTCAAAAAAACATCTTTGCTCTTCAGCATTTTAAAGAGATCTTTTGCAGCAGATGTGCCCAGTGCAATATGTTATCTGATATCTTGACTGCTGCTTCCATTGGTGTTGATTGTAGAACCAAGTAATATGAAATCTTTGACAACTTCAATCTTTTCTCCTTTTATCATGATGCTGCTCACAGGTCCAGTTGTGAGGATTTTTGTTTTCTTTATGTTGAGATGTTGTCCTGGTTACCTAGTGCTGCTCTGACAAGAAATACACCACAAATGGGATGGCCTTAACAAACAGGAGTTTATTCTTACAATTTGGAGGCTTTAAGTCCAAGTTCAAAATGCCAGGCTCTAGGGGCTGGGTCAAAGCCCCTCAATCTTGGGGTCCAGCTCTGCCTACTGCTCCCGGCCCACTGGAGCTAGAGGCTTTTCTTCAGACAGCTGCTGGCTGCTGAGGCTGAGAAGCCCCAAGGTTGACAAGTAAAAAGGCACAGTCCCGATGTTACCAAACCACACAGCAGGCCATTAACTTAAGTCCACTGTAGTCCCAAGGTCAGCAGAGCATAGCAGGCTGCTGAGCAATGACAGGGCTACATGCAGGGTCCAAGCATGCCATAGGCTAGAGACCATTTCCCAAGGCTTCTGCTTAAATACAGGAAGCAGAACACATTCCCTAAGGCAGCTACTCAGCTGCTCACAGTAGATTCCACCATGGAGTTGATTATCAGTCTCATCATGGGAATACTACATCCAGCTGCCCAGCCACTCAACCAGGCCCAGCCAAGTTGACACACAAACTGAACTACCACAGATGTAATCCATACTGCAGACTGTAGTCTTTAATCTTTATCAGTAAGTGCTTCAAGCCATCCTCACTTTCAGCAAGCAAAGCTTTGGGGTCTACATATCGCAGGTTGTTTATGAGTCTTCCTCCAATCCTGATGCCATGTTTTCCATATAGTCCAGCTTCTCGGATTATTTGCTCAGCATACAAATTGAATAGTATGGTGAAAGGATACAACCCTGACGCACTCCCTTCCTGATTTTAAACCATGCAATATCCCCTTGTTCTGTTCCAATGACAGCCTCCTGGTCTTTGTATGTACGGGTTCCTCATGAGCACGATGAAGTATTCTGGAATTCCCACTCTTTGCAATGTTACCCATAATTTGTTATGATCCACACTATCAAATGCTTTTGCATAGTCAGTAAAGCACAAGTAAACATCTTTCTGGTATTCTTTGCTTTTGGCCAAGAGCCATCTGACATCAGCAATAATATTCCTCATTCCATGTCCTCTTCTGAATCCAGCTTGCATTTCTGGAAGTTTTCTGTCAATAAACTGCTGCAACCTTTTTTGAATTATCTTCAGTAAGATTTACTTGTGTGTGATATTAGTAATATTGTTCAATGATTTCCACATTCTCTGGGATCACCTCTCTTTGGAATGGGTACAAATATTGATCTCTTCCAGTCAGTTGGCCAGGTAGCTGTCTACCAGATTTCTTGGCACAGACGAGTGAGTACCTCCAGCATGGCATCTGTTTGCTGAAACATCTCAATGAGTATTCCATCCATTCCTGGAGCCCTGTTCTTCACCAATTCCTTCAGTGCACCTTCGACTTCTTCCTTCAATACCACTGGTTCTTGATCATATGCTACCTCCTGAAATGGATGAACATTGACCAATTCTTCCTGGTACAGTGATTCTGTATACTCCTTCCATCTTCTTTTGATGATTCGTGCATCATTCAATATTTTGCCCAAAGAATCTTTCAATATTGCAACTCAAGGCTTGAACTTTTTCTTCAGTTCTTTCAGCTTGAGAAATGCCGAGTATGTTCTTCCCTTGGTTTTCTAACTCCAGATCCTTGCACACATTTCATTATACTAATTGACATCATGCCTGGTAGCCACCTTATGAACACCATTGTTAATATCAAAGATGTTTACCTGTGTTTTACTGACGATGCAAAGGCATTCAACTGTGTGAATCATAACAAATTATGGATAACACTGGGAAGAATGGGAATTCCAGAATATTTAATTGTGCTCATAAGGAACCTGTACATAGACCAAGAGACAGTCATTTGAACAGAACAAGGGAATACTGCATGGTTTCAAATCAGTAAAAGTGTGTATCAGATTGTATCCTTTCACCATACTTATTCAATCTGTATGCTGAGCAAATAGTCTGAAAAGCTGGATTATGTCAAGTAGAATGCAACATCAGGACTGAAAGAAGACTCATAAACAGCCTATGATATGCAGATGACATGCCCTTCCTTGCTGAAAGTAAAGAAGATTTGAAAAACTTACTAATGAAGACCAAAGACTACAGCCCTCAATGTGGATTACACCTCAACATAAATAAAGCAAATATCCTCACAACTGGACCAATAAGCAACATTATGATAAATGGAAAAATTAATGAAGTTGTCAAAGATTTCATTTTACTTGGATCCACAATCAACTTCCATGAAAGCAGCAGTCAAAAACTCAGACAACTTATTACACTGGGCAAATCTGCTGCAAAAGACCTCTTTAAAGTGTTTAATAGCAAAGAAGAGTAAGATGCACCTGACCCAAGCCATATTTTCAATAGCCTCTTATGCATGTGAGAGATGGACAATGAATAAGGAACAAAACTGATGCATCTGAATTGTGGTGTTGGTGAAGAACACTGAATGTACCATGGATTGCTAGAACGAACAAATCGGTCTTGGAGGAAGGACAGCCAGAATGCTCCTTAGAAGTAAGAATGGCCAGAGTTCATATCTCGTGCTTTAGTCATGTTGTCAGAAGGATATCATGCTGGGTAAAGAAAAGGGTCAGCAAAAAAGGGGAAGACCCTTAACAAAACGGACCGACCCAGTGGCTGTGGTGATGGCCTCAAGCATGGCAAAGATCATGAGGATGGCACAGGATCGGGCAGTTTTTCGGTCTGTTGTGCATAGGGTCTACTATGAGTCAAAACTGACTTGACAGCACGTAGCAACAGCAGCCAACTTACAAAATCCTGGCTTAGTTCCTTGGCAACTTTCCCTCCACCCTGTTCTTCCTATTCACACATGTACCTGAAAAGTCCCTAAATAAGAATGGTGTTCCTAGAAACAATCCAAATGTCCATCAACAGACAAATGGATAAAAAGAAAATATGGTACATTCATTCAATGGAATATTACTCAGCCATAAAGAGAAATGAAGTCCTGACACATGCTACAATACGGATGAATCTTGAAAACATTATGCTGAGTATAGTCAAGTCACAAAAGGACAAATATTGTATAATCTCACTCATATGAAATAGCTAGAACAGGAAAATGTATAGAGACCAAAGTTCATTAGTAGTTACCAGGGCATGCCAGGGAATTCACGTTGCTTGGTTCTACAATTGATGCCAATGGAAGCAGCAGTCAGGACATTAGACGACATGTAGTATTGGGAAAGTCAATCGCGAAGGAACTGTTTCAAGTGCCAAGGAGCAAGGATATCTCCTTGAGGACTAAGGTGCGCCTGACACAAGCCATGATATTTCCAATTGCCTCGTATGCATGTGAGAGCTGGACAATGAATAAGGAAGACCGAAGAAGAGTTGATGCTTTTGAGTTGTGGTGCTGGCGAAGAATGTTGAAAGTACCATGGACTGCTAAAAGAACTAACAGATCTGTCCTGGAGGAAGTGCACCCAAAATGCTCCCTGGAAGCGAGAATGGCCAGATTTCGTCTCACCTATTTTGGTCATGTTGTCAGAAGAGACCATTCCTTGGAGAAGGATGTCATGCTTGGTAGGGTGGAGGGTAGACGAAAGAGGGGGAGGCCTTCAATGAGATGGACTGACATGGTGGCTGTAATGATGGGCTCAGGTATAGCAGGGATCATGGAGCTGGCACAGGACTGGGCAATGTTTCGTCCTGCTGTGCACGGGGTCGCTATGAGTCGGAAATGACTTGACGGCACCTAACAACAACAACAACCAAAATTTACAAGAAGAAAGGAGTCATTATTTAGGAAGCATTGAGTTTCTGTTTATAATAATGGAAATTTAGCAACAGATACTGGTGATGGTTGCAAAACATGATTAATGTAGCTGATGTCACTAAACTGTACATGTGAAAAATGTTAAAATGGCAAACGTTCTGTTACATATATATTTACAATAATAAAAGAATGGTGTTTCTAAGGCAGAATAAAAACCTTCAACCAAACAGGCTTCCTTCCCTAAACAGGCAGTCCCAAACAAAAGAAATATGAAATTCTTGTTTCGAGGCCACTTCCTTGCCCTTTAGTACCCTGGGATCTCCATATGTTTCCCAGGTTCCACGTTCTCTTGCACAACTCCTTTAAGAATAACCTGCACAGTTTGCACAGGGAGATAGCTCAGAGGGCAGGAATGCATAGGAAAGAAGGACACAGGAAGAAGGTTACCACAGGGAGGAGGTGGGAAGAGAGCTGTTACATTATGAGGGTTGTAATCAGTGTCATGAAACAAAATGTGTATGAACTGCTGTAGGGAAAATGAATTTGCTCTGTAAACTTTCACCCAGATCACAATTTTAAAAAAGAATAACCTGCACAAAATAAGTGGGAAAATGCTACAAAATGATTCTAGCCACTGACAGTTATTTGTCCATTTCTGGAACCTCAGGATCAGAATGACCCCTCTCAGTTATGCTGCGATCACAGTCCTCATGAAATCAGTGCAAAATTGTGTCCTTCGAATATCTTTATTTCCTGGAAAAGTTACTGCAAATCTGTGTCTCACCAGGGAAGTATACAATGTGTGTGTGTGTGTGAGAGAGAGAGAGAGAGAAAGGAGTGAACTATTCATACTTTTTAAAAATTTTGTGCTCTCCTTTAGTCAAAGGATCTATAATAAATTTCCTAAGTTTGCAGAAGGAAGCAAAGGGACTTTTTGTTTATTATAAATTTCTCCAAGAGTCCCTGGGTGGCACAAACGCGTGCAAACTAGATGAACAAGTTGTGAAGTCAAGCAGTCCTGATAAATACACGGAGGTGCCTCGAAGAAAGGCCTGGTGATCTGCTTCTCGTCTCAGTTTACCCTGTAACACATTAAGTAGCCATGAGTCAGAACCAACTGGATGATAACTGAAAGACGTTTCATTTCTTCAGTACATTTAGCAGGGTTGCTCGCCTTCACTTGTTCATCTAGTCTGCTCTCCTGGGACGACGCCTAGCTCCCGTATTTTTTCTAGGTTTGGTATCCAGACTCATACAGAATTCCAAGTATAAGTAACAAAATTTTACTTAAAAGAAGCATTTCCAGTGCCAATTCTGATAACCTTCACCAATTTTAAAGCGTTCTGGCTACCACAGCACACCTGGCTTCCAGAAGGGGCTCCAGCGCACTTTCACTGTGTCGGAGTATCCATAAGGGAAGAGTGAGTAGAAAGATGACGGAAGTGCCCCTCCCGGTGTAAATCTCTGTATTTCACTTACCATTGCCCCATCACAGGAGACCACCTCAGACTAAGTAACCTGAAGGAAAAACCAGATAATGCCAGCCCCTCATTGCTAACAGCCAGGTTACCAACAGCTCGCCAAAGCCGTACCGTTTCCGAGGCCTGGTTACGGCTAGTTCGTGGTCACGTGACCAGTCAAATCAGGTCACGTGATACATCGGTTCCTTCCATTGCCACTCGCAGAGGGGGGAACCCAAGAAGCTGAAGGTCCTCGCACCTCCGACAGTCACGCTCCAGCAACATAGATCAAGAAAGACCTCCAGATGGTCTTCTGTAGTTTCAGACACTGACTTCTCAGCCAATGTCCGAGTAGACTCCGAGTCACCCAGCGTTCTCCGCCCGCTGCCCCCCCCCAGAGGTGGTCTGGTCCTGAGGCCACGCCCCCTGGCCGCCCTCCCGGCTCAGTCCTCCGCGGCGCGAGCCCCTAAGTCTCGCTGGCTTGGTTTGCTCCGAGCGTCCTAAGCTTTCTCCCACCGCCTTTTTATTAGGCCCATATCTAGCGGAGCCCCGACTCCCTTCTTCATGGCGTCGCTCCTGTGCTGCGGGCCCAAACTGGCTGCCTGTGGCATCGTCCTCAGTGTCTGGGGAGTGATCATGTTGGTGAGGGCACTGCCGGGCGAGAACCCGGGAGGGCCTGAGGAGCTCCTGGGTTGGAGAGCTGGGAGGAAAGGAGACTAAGGGGCTTAGAAAGTAGGGGCCGGCTGGAGGGGCTGGCTTATTAACAGCTCTGGAGAAAGAGGCAGAACTGCGATTGAGAAATGAGGAACTGCGGGGGGGGGTAGGGGTGCTGGAACGTGAAATGGGAGCCGATGCTGGTAAATGTGGGGACCCCACAAAGAGGAAAAAGAGCTGGACTCCAGGGAGATGCTTAAACTGAGTGGAGGGAGCTGAAATGAGTTAACTGGGGCCTAGTTTCCCTATCTACCCTCATGCCTTGGGGCTATAATCATGTGAAGAAGTGCGGGTTTCCCCCTCTTCCCTTCCGCCCTGTCCCGTGATAATGATGGTCTTGGGAAGGAAAATAACCCAAGTTCCTGGGAAAAATGGGTTACTCACTACTCCTGCCCTTGCCCTAGGCACTCATTTCAAAGTCACGGCCTCACACGCTATTCCAGGTGGCTGAATCTACATCCAGCAGCCAAAACTCCTGGTTCGTTCTGGTTATTCCCAGGCCCCGGTGTTATGGCAACATATCAGAAGTGGGAGGGACTTAGGGAAGTGACCTGGAGGTCAGGTGTCTGAGTTCTACGACTAACCCATTTATTTTTCTTCAGATAATGCTCGGAATCTTTTTCAATGTCCATTCTGCCGTCCTTATTGAGGATGTTCCCTTCACAGAGAAAGATTTTGAGTAAGTAATTGGGTAAAGCAGGTGGGAGGTGGCTGAGCCTGTGGTCAGAAATATGGGCGGGGAATTTTGGGAAACTGGACACTTGGCGGAGGAGCTCTGATAATACAGTGCTTAATGCATTTGACTGCTAACCAGAAGGTTGGTGGTTCAAACCTACCAGCCAAGATTTATCGCCTGAGAAAGCCAACGGGGGTCGCTATGAGTCAGAATTGACTTCACGGCAGTGGGTTTGGTTTTGGGGACACTTGGCGACCCCGAGGCTATAGGGAGCAGAGAGCTGCTCTCTTTAGATTAAAATTGGGGGCAGTCTTGGAAGTCAGACCTCAAGCACTCCTAAACCCACCAGTGAAGGTGTGGCTTCTTAAGGTACTTCACCTGACTTCTCTGTGCCTCGGTCCACCTCTGCAAGATGGGTGCTATAACTCCACAGAGTTGTGGAAAATGAGTAATAAACGTTAATGCACTTAACGATACCTGGCGCATAGTTAAGTGCTAAGTAAATGTCTGCTGTTAATATTTCTGACATTTCTCTGCCTAATTCCCACCACCAGGAATGGCCCCCAAAAAATATACGACCTTTACGAGCAAGTCAGCTACAACTGTTTCATCGCCGCGGGTCTTTACCTCCTCCTGGGAGGTTTCTCTTTCTGCCAAGTTCGGCTCAATAAACGCAAGGAATACATGGTGCGCTAGGGCACGGTCACATTCCCCCTTCAAGACCTCTCCGCTGTTTAAAGACTTTGCCTCTGCACGTCGTGTCCCACCCATCTGGCACCCTCTGCAGGACTCGGTTTCTCTAGCGAGGGAAGAACCCCTTGTTCTTCACTCTCGCGCCCGGCCCCCTCCCTTAGTCCTGTACCACAATAAAGAGAAACTGCTCTCTAAAGCGTTGTGTCGGTGCTTGTGTAAGGGAGCGGGCGTGAGACTGGAAACCAGCCTCTAAGGAGATCTGAGCCCCTCGGCGGCGGCGGAGGGAAGCAGGACCCGGAAGCGAGGTGTGTCTTCCTCCTCCTCTTCCTTGTGGGCACGGAAACTGCCTAAGCTGCTGATGAGGCGATTAGCCGCCGACTTAGAGCCAATCAGTGGCGGGGTGGGGCGGAACTTCCTGCGCGGGGGCCGGAACGGAGAGATCGCCGGGCTTTTCGCGGTCCTGGCTCGCGTGGCAGCGGCGGCGGCAGCGTCTCCGGGGGCCATGACGTCAGCATCCACCAAGGTTCGGCCTCCCTCGCGACAGCGCTCCCTGGCGGCCGCGGGAGGGCGGGCCCCCCCCATTTGGCTTCCGGCTATCGGCCCTGGGCGGGGTGCCGGGCTGGCGGGAGCCGAGCCTAGGCTGGGGCTAGGGGCTTCGGGCGGGACAGTGCGGAGGGTGTGCGCCGGCCCCCAGTAATGCTGCCCCGCCCCCAGGTCGGAGAGATCTTCTCTGCGGCGGGCGCCGCCTTCACGAAGCTCGGGGAGCTGACGATGCAGCTGCATCCCGTAGCCGACTCTTCTCCCGCGGGGTACGTGAGCCCGGGCTGGGACTTGGACACGAAGCGAGGACGCTTGGACTCAATCACAGACATGGACACGCTCTAGGGCAGGGACAGATAGTATTTTCTTTTTGTGCCTGGCACAGAGCAGAATCCCACCACCACCACCCACTGCCATAAAGTCCATTCCGACTCATAACGAGTAGAGCTGCCACGTAAGTTTTCCAAGGTGGTAAATTTTTACGGAAGCTGACTGCCTCATCTTTCGCCCGCGGAGCAGCTGCTGGGTCCGAACTTCCTACTTTTTGGTTAGCAACCGAGTGCTTTAGCCGCTGCGCTACCAAAACTCTTTCAGCGCAGGGTAGATGTCAATAAATGATTGTTGAATTAATGACAGGTGAAAATACAGACTAAGGCGCATCACCGGGACTCGTATTTCACAGTTCTATCCTACTTCGTCCCAGCAGATCACAGACCACCACCACCATCCACCACTCCACGTGGAGTTACTCAGACTGCTGCGGACTCTGTTCAGGGGTTCTTCCTGTTACTCGTTGAACTCGTTTCAGGGGGCTTTACACAGCAGCAGGTTGATGCAGGAGAGAGAACGTGTGGTTTGGGATATCTTGTGGTTGAGGGTCATGGGGTTCCCACAAGGCCCTCAGAGATTTTTACAGGCGCTCTTTATGACACATGGGAGGGCCCCAGAAATTGGAGGGGGGCCTGGTTGGCTGGGGACTGCATAGCTGTGGGCTGGCTCCACACCCCGCCTCCTCCCTCTTTTGCTGTCCCCCCTCTCCCCTCTGACAGTGCGAAGTGGACGGAGACGGAAATAGAGATGCTGAGGGCTGCTGTGAAGCGATTTGGGGACGAACTTAATCACATCAGCTGTGTCATCAAGGAACGGACAGTGTGAGGGAGGGTGGCTGTCAGAGAAAGGGGGGCGGGCAGCTTGCTTCCACTGAACCCATTATTCCATCCTCCTCAGAATGCCCTCCCAGCTCAACACCTTTCCTACTTTGTTGCTAGTTTTGTTAGCATCCCCTGGAGGACTGAAACAACACAAGAATTATCACAATATTATGGTAATCAGAGCCTTCCAAGAACTTAATTTTAGGTTGCCTGAGATGCCCAGTTATTGAAATTGATAATAGAGGTTCCCTGGTTATCTATATAGATCTTTTGAGACTACTACAGCGTTCCAGGAATAATACTGTGATTCTGAACCAGTTGATCAGGATCCAGTAGTAATTCTCAGTTCACCTGTAGATCACCAAGGCTTACCTGGTAACCTTCCACATCCACACTTCTCTCCGAAGACAGTTAGGTGATGGACCTTTCGCAGTGCTCAGTTCAGGGACTTCACTCTTCACACTCCATCTGCCCTGTGTTCAACACTTCAGGAAATGAAAACCTTACCAAAGGTTGGGGCCCTGCCCTAGATTTTTAGGAAGGGACTCCCCAGAATTCTTTCAGAGTGACCCATTACCCCTTCCCCTCCTCCCCTTTCCTTCAGCCGCTCAGATGACACCTTCCTCTCTCTTCTCTTAGGGCTCAGATAAAGGCCACCGTGAAACGCAAGGTATATGAAGACTCTGGCATCCCCCTTCCAGCTGAGTCACCCAAGAAAGGGCCCAAGAAGGTGGTGTCTGGTGTTCTGTCGCCTCCTCCAGCAGCCCCTCCACCCAGCAGCTCCATTGTCCCTGAGGCTGGGGGTCCCCCCATAAAGAAGCAGAAGGCTGGTGAGGGCTGTGGAGTTGCTGCCTAGGGGTTAAAGATCCCAGCTGAGGTTCAGTGAGAGAATTGAGCCTGGGTCAGAGAAGGACAAGTCTCTCTTCCTCTCCCGGTGGTGTTTCCCAGAGAGGAACTGGGGGTGGGGGTGCATGAAGCCTTGGGAAGCTGAGGGGCAGCCAGAGGAAGCTAGAACCTAGTTTATGCCCCCCCTCCCAGATGTGACACTCAGTGCTCTGAACGACTCGGACGCCAACAGTGACCTAGTGGATATTGAAGGGCTAGGAGAAACTCCTCCAGCCAAGAAGCTCAACTTTGACCAGGGTAGGCGTTGTCCTCCCCCCACACCAACAGAAGGGGAGGGGGAGAAGTGTTCACCTCGCTGGCAGGGTGGGTCTCGGCTGGAACCCCTCTCTCGTACAGGGGCTTTGGAAAGGAAGGTGCTTTCTTCTCCGTGGTGCAGGGGATTGGGTCAGTCAGGAGTGGGGTGCTTGGGTGAGGTTAGGAGTTTTCTTGGATGCATATCTGGGGCTCGCTCCATCTCTGCCAATTTTACTTCCTGTTCCAGACAGCCTGACCCTGGATTCTGGCCTTCTCATGACCTCTGCTGATCCTCCTCTCCTCTCCCACTGAGCCTTCCACCTCTGACCCCTCTCACTGTTCTCCCTGGACGTAGATTATCCGGAACTCATCTGGAGGCCTGCACAGGACAAGGTCAAAAGGTGGCTGGGGCTGGGAAGGTCCACCTTGCTGACCCTGTAGAGGCATCTGCTCCCAAGTCCTTTGACCTCTACCTGATGGACATTTTTATACAGAATACAATAAAGACTTCCCTCTCAGCTTGGTGACTTATTATTGGAGTTCTGTCTGCTCTCCTTAGTCCTCAGGGGCTCAGCCCCTCCTGGGCAGCGCGTGCCACCCTGCCTGAAGCAGCACAGCCAATATTGGTAGACTCTCTTCCTGGTGCCAATATTTCTGTGCTGCTAGAGCCAGAGGGGCTGGGGTGGGCAACAAAGCCTGCACTTCAGGTTCTCTGGATGTAGAACTTACTCCCAGGGTCTCTGGCAGTCCAAGTCCTGAAACTACCCTGGGAATTTTGGAGGGGCTGTTTGCAGTGCCGTCACATCTCCTGCCCACCCACCCCAGCCCCGGCAAGGAGTTTGTCACAGGCCCCAGATGTGTTTTGTGGCGAGTCTCCAGGGATGCCTCCAAGGCCAGTCCTCAGCGGTGCCTCCCCCACCCTCGCTCTAACACCACAGTGTGGTTTGGACGTGGCCACAGTGCCGTACAAACCACAGTGTGCTGCTGGGGCGGGAGCAGGACTAGGGTGGGTTGAGAGGAAGGGAAGACAGGAGGGTGCTGTGAAGACCTCTTCCCCACCACAACCACCAAGAGCAGGGAGACAGAGAAGACTTCAAAGGCAAACATGGCCCAAGAAAAGTTGGGGAAAACAAGAAACCAGGGAGAGGAGCTGAGCAGGCAACTGGAGGGAGAGGGGCCTAGGGCATGAGCTCACAGTGTCCTAGGACTGAAGCCATCATCCCTCTGTAGGGACTCAACCTCGGGGGGGGGTCCCTAGGTTGGGATTAGAGGCAGAGGAGCTAGAGAATGACTGTAGGGAACCAACGAACTGCTTCCAACTCAGCAAGAGCAGAGACCCAAGCTTCCTGTGGCCATTTCTCCCCTCCCTGGGTCAGAACCCAGGAGAAAAGCAAGGAGAGACAGAGGGCCAAGGACGGCAGGGTTGGGAGCTGGCAGTCCAGAGGTGGTGGGGCCGGAACATGATTGGGAGAGGGGGGCCGGAAGTCACCCTGGGCCCTGGGCCTGCCACAAGATGGAGGCCAAAAGCAGGAAATGGAGGCCAGAAGGAAAGGGGAGCAGCAGGGCCCAGGAAGAGGGTCACCTGGACCTAGGGGTCAGGTCTTCAACCCCCAGTGCTGGCTCCACCCCCCAGTGCCCCCTCAGGACCCAGCACCCACCCCCGCAATAGCCCCCATCAGCCCATCCACCAGGCCCAGGCGGGCGGGCCCACCCCAGAGAGCCACGTTTAAGCTGCGACAAACATGCCTCTCCCCACCCCCACCCTGGGCCTTCCCTCAGCTCTTTCCCCCTGTCCAGGACTTGATTCTTTTCAAAGCACCCCCCAGAAAGCAAAATCTAAGGACCAAAATCCCCTCTGCAAATCAAAGGAGTACCCTCTAAGAACCAAAAGTTATCCTCCAACCTCCCATCCCACCCTTTACCACCCCTCTCCGACACACCCCCCAAAACTCTTAGCAATCAAAAAGCTCTAAGATGGTGTGTGTAAGCAGTCCTTTTAGGCCCTGAAGAATGCCAGACGCCTTCCCCCAAAACCCCCAAATGTCCTACACCAAATCCTGCCAAGGCTTCCTGCCCCTCACTCCAACCTCTGAAACCCCCAAACTGAGAAGTTGCCCCCAGCTCCTATCCTCGGCAGAGCCTTTTGTGGGGGTGAAACAGAAATCAAACACT